GATGGCTAAGGCAATTAAGCTATCCAAGCTGTCCGACTCATCTCTGACAGCCAACTCATCCTTCACTGCTTCGCTTAACCCCTTCCGAAAAACCCCCTGAAGTGACTCATCGTTCCAGCCTGACTCTGCTGCCAATGTTCTGAAAGCCACTGAATACTCCGCTACACTGCAGGCACCTTGGCGAAGGAACAGTAGACGCTGACTGGCATCTTTACCTTTAACAGGGTGGTCAAAAACTCTTCATCTCTGCCACAAAACTGGCATAGGCGGAGTTAATCCGTCGAGAGCCATTCCAAACAGCAGCACCCCAAGCTCTAGCCCTCCCAGTTAGCAACCCGACAATGAAAGCAATCTTGGACTTGTCTGTAACGTAGGTCTGTGGCTGTAAATCAAAAACAACAGAGCATTGAAGCAAAAAAGATTGACAAGTCCCCAGATCACCATCATAACATTCAGGTGCTGGGACATAAGGCTCTCTGGGCAGATAAGAAGGCATCACGGGAGGTGGGCCAGGAATGGAAGGACTGGGACTAGTTGGAACTGATAGGAATGGGGCAGCACTAAACTGACTCTCAATTCTAGACATGGTAAATGTCTAGAATTGAGAGTCAGACCTCTCAAAGTCTCCACGACTTCTTGGAGCATGTTGGCCAACGAGGGGTTCAAGGGTCCAATAATGAGATGGAGGAAATGGCTGAGGTAAAGCAGTGGTTGAAGCGGATGGAGGAGGCACAGAGTGTAGGCTGTCCAGAGATGGCTGGTGGAGAGCAGGCAAGCAGGTAGCAGGAGGTGGACCTGAGCACAAGAAGATCAGTGACGAAAGATCATTTCATTAATCAACAGGAATCACAAAGAACAATAGTTGAAGTCAATCGGGACATTAGCTACCACAGTGGCTGAACAAACAATCTGACAAGGAGTGGGAGAAAGGCCAGGGTTTTTATGCAGTCAGAGTGATGAGTTGATTGAAGGCAGGTGCTGAGGAACGGCAGGTGTGCTTCGGTGATTATCCAGGCAGGATCAGGGAAATGTGCCACACTCACCACACAGACAGAGACAAGTGCACAACACAAGAATGGGGAAAACAAAGGGAAACACAGGGAACAACATTCACGACTGTTATCGTGACAGTTTACTCCTGAACAGTGTGCTGGATTAGAAAAGAATGCCTTAGTTGTAGATGTGTGGTGGGGAAACGACAAAACATACCGTTTTCACTAAAATGAAGGACATCTGCAAAAAAAGTAAAATAGGAGTTACTTCCCACTGTGGTCCAGTTACTCCAAAAATAAAAACATAAAAATAAAAATGTGTGAAAAACACTGCTGGGGTTTGCTGGGGTCAAGTCAAGTCAATTGTATTTGTACAAGAAAAAAAAAAACAAAAACAAAAAACACATTTTGCCTAAATGAATTTTGGATAGTAATAAGTTAAATTAGAATTAAAATTCGACCCACAACAGGGAAAATAATTGAGGATTATACATACAGTTAATATTTAATTGAGTTTATATTAACAATACAAAGTTGAGCAGAATGAATTTTACAAATATTATTGAAAATCTAATTAGATCACAGACTGAGCAAGTACTTTGGTAACAGTGGGGAGAAAACAAATGTGAGGATTTTCAAGTTTTTCAAAGATTTTACTGGGAGCCAGTGTAGAGACCTGGGACCTGATGTTCTAAACGTGCATAGATTTCATTGTGCACAGGAATCCAAGTATGTTTCATTTGTAAATCCCAATGTGGCATTGAGCGCACATGAGGAATTGCCAGACCACACCCCACCTACATATGCAAATATCTTTAAAGAGGCCGTGAATCCCATGATTTGCAGGTGAATTCATCATGAGGAAGTGAAAAAAAGTATTATACTGAAGCCGAACTATAGATCCTAGTCAAAGAGGTGGAGAAGTGGCGAGGTGTGTTTTTTGGTGGCTTGTCTACAGGTACAAATATGAAAAGAAAAAAGTGTGTGTGTTGCCGTAAATGCCGTTAGTCGGGGCAGCGCACACACATAAAGGTTAAAAAAGAAATGGTCCAGTAACACTGGCCTTGGTAAACTAAACAGCCTCATTAGCCAATAACCATCATTCTCCAGTACATCCTCACGTTCCCTAAATACACGCTCCCGTCTGATGCGAGATATTCTAATAACACTACCGCTGCAATTGTTAATAACATTTCTTCAACACTTGTGGCATTCTTTCACATCCACCTATATAACTGCACACATGTTTGTGAGTTAATCGTTCATAAGCATGTCTCTGATGTGCACATCACTCTGATGGCTACTTGTTTTGTTTTTTGTTTTTTTTTTACATTATTAGCAGTTTCCCAGCATCAGCACCAAGTGTCACCAAAGGCATCTGAACGTGAGTGTAGAAAAGGGCGTAAGCAACTTTTTTGTGCTTACGCAAATTTGATACATCAGGCCCCAGGACTGGAGTGATACTGTTGTGTGACCCAAATGCAGCACAATGGAGACTCTCTTCAGGTGCAGCAGGTTTATTTACAAAGTGCCAAAACAACAAAAACTCACTTGGTCACAGATACACTGCATAAATTACAAGGCATGGCCTTCTTCAAAACATGAACTTCACCAGAAACATGGACCAGAAAGTCCTAACAAAGTCCTACCGTTTCCTGACGCATATCTAAACAAACCTAACACAGGAAGCAACTGAGCCAATCAACTCCTGAGAAAGGGGGGCACGAGTAACCAATCAGCGGGCTGTTCGGTGAGGTACCGCCCATACTTCCGCCGCAAGCTTCCGCCGTGAGACTCGCTTCGCTGTTGCATTTTACGGCTCCGATCATTTAATCAGTCAGAATTAATACATTTTCCCGCAATCGATGTCATTCGCCAGAAGAGTAAAAGTAAGTACACACGAATGAAAGACGTTTTACATTTGCGTGCTTATTTATTTGATTAGTAGTAAAGAGTGTCTCGTCATTTAATTAAGTATATGACGTGCATATCATATTTTATATCTGAGATTTAATGTCATAGTGCTTTTATAGACATCGTAGATTTTACATTATCGTACTTTTAAGCTATTTGAGATAAGTTTATTTTTGTTATTAATATATATACAGGTAAAGGTATACAGATAAAGTAAGGCTAAACATATTTGCAAACGTCAGTGACAAAGCCTGTATTAATGTAGATGAGTATAAATGTTTATTAAACATATCTTATAAGCACATTTATCTGGATTTTTCTCTGTTAAGTATAAGAATTCTAAATGTATGCTAATAGTTGTCATTTACTCATATGTAGACATATATTATAATTATATTTATATCTGTTTATTTAACATAGATGTGCTGCATATATATATTAACTGTCCTCCTATTTTGATGTCTAAATAGATCATGAAGTCATGACCCAGTCGTGATGCTGTTGGCAGGCAGTACAGTAAAGAGCTTCCTCACAGCTGGTTGGTAGAAACCTCACTTTATCTCAGGATGAAAAATTTTATGATGAATCTAACGTAGTTAAATGTAACAGAATACATTTCCCTTCCTCGTCATCCTCATCATCCTCGGCCCCAGCATTCAACAGGCATCAGGAGTGGAGAATGAAAAAGGCAGCTCTGAAGGATAAGGAGCAAAAGGAAGTGGGGACCAACCAAAAAAGAACCACCAAAAAGACAATTACACCTACACCTGTAAGCTGTACGTAAAAGTAAAAGCAAAGTTACTGGCCATATGCAGCACAGAGGCAAATGGTTCTGTCCAGCACCTGGACAGACTTTGGTTGAATGGAAGTAGTCTCTGTAAGCCTTCATATTTCTATTACTGTATATATGTATATATGCATTTATGTATGTTGGTATTTCTGAATATCTATGTATATATCAATTTTAACACATTTAATTAAAATATGTTTAAATATTGACCATTTCTATGTATCTGTTTTGTTCTTTAAAAAAGAAACAGTAAAATATCCATCCTCTGCCAATTACTTGAAAACATAAAACCAAAACAAATATAGTGGTATAACAATGTCACATCCATCCACTAGGTAGTTAGTTTCAGGTGCAAATTCTATATATTGAATTTTTAATTTGCATGTAATTAACTCCATGACATAAACAGCCTACTGCTCACTTTGGTGATGGGTTAAATACAGAGGTTCAATTTCATTGTATCCCTGTGTTACAATGACAATAAAGACTATAACTAATTAATTCCCCCCCAAGACTGACTGAGGTAGAGAGGTATATATTGGTGAGATGGTGTTTGTTTTTCACAACAGATGAGTAAAAGTGGGTTTCTCATGTTTCCACAACTTACTAGGTTGTTTTTTTTTTTAACACTTTGCGAACTGTTTAATACCTTACACAATGATCCGCTCAACCACGGCTCCATTGTTTACACTCGCGACCACCTGCTGGAGTTACGCAACACATCTGTGCTCCTCAACGAGAGACATCCCGACTGCGTTGAGAAGAAAGCACGTCACTGTTAAGGAGCAGCGCTGCACCAAAGACATCGAACTACTGGTTGTGAGCATGCGCCCTTATTACCTGCCCTGTGAGTTCTAACAGGTTATAGTGATGGCAGTGTACGTTCACCCAAGAGCTGACGCTGCAGCTGCCTGTGAGACTCTTCTTTCTGTGGTGTCACAGCTGCAAACAGCTCACCCTCAATCCCTTATTCTTATCTCTGGGGACTTTAAAAACACCTCTATCTCCTCCACCCTTCCCACGTTCAAGCAGTATGTAGATTGCCATACCAGGGACAATAAAACACTGGACTTAATCTATGCAAACATTAACGATGCATACAACTCACCCCCTCCCCCCTCTGGGCAACTCTGATCACAACTTGGTCTATTTGATTCCTGCCTACATTCCAATGGTACGAAAACAACCCACCATCAGATATGTGAGGAAATTGACTGAGGAGAGTTCACAGGCACTAATGGACTATTTTGAAACCACAGACTGGGAAGTGCTGTGTGACCCACACGTGGAGGTTTGACAACCTGCATTACTGACTACATAAACTTCTGCGTGGAAACTACTGTACCCATAAAAAAAGTATGGTGTTTCACCAACAATAAACCATTGGTCACATCTGATCTAAAGAATCTGCTTAACCAGAAAAAGCAGATTTTTAGGACTGGGGACAGGGAAGAGCTAAGGAGAATTCAGAAGGAGGTAAAGAAACAGGTGAGGAGGGACAAGGATGCTTACAGAAAAAAGCTGGAACAACGCCTCCAAGAATGCAATTTAAGGGAGGTGTACAGGGACCTGAACACAATCTCAGGCCACAGCTGGAAGGGGCAGGAGTAGACAGTTCCCTAACTGCATGGACCATCAACTACCTCTCCAACAGACCACAGTTTGTTAGGTTTCAGAATTGTGTGTCTGATGTGGTAGTTTCTAGCACAGGGGCAGCGCAAGGAACTGTTCTTGCTCCTTTTCTTTTCACCCTGTATACTGCCGACTTCAAATACAACACGGACTACTGTCACTTACAGAAGTTCTCAGACGATACAGCCATTGTCGGGCATGTATCAGATGGGGACGATAAAGAATATAAATCAGTGATCATTGATTTTGTGGTGTGAAGTGAACTGCCTTCAAATCAACACCACCAAAACCAAGGAGGTGGTGATTGATTTTCGTAGGAGAACCTCCCACCATACACCAGTGAGCATTCAGGGCAACAGCATAGAGATGGTCGAGGATTACAAATACCTGGGTGTTCACCTGACCAATAAACTGGACTGGTCTACAAACACTGGTGTCCTGTACAGGAAGGGTCAAAGTCGTCTACACCTACTGAGGAGATTGAGGTCCTTCGGAGTGTGTAGGACACTCCTCAGAACCTTTTATGACTCTATGGTGGCGTCTGCACTATTCTACGCCATCATCTGTTGGGGGAGTGGTTTAATCTCTGTTGGTTAGGAGAGCCAGCTCGGTTGTGAAATGTCCCTTAGAGACTCTGGAAGAGGTAGGTAAGAGGAGGATTTTAGCCAAACTAAAATCCATTATGGGCAATCCCTCTCACCCTCTGCTTGACACTATGGGAGCACTGAGCAGCTCTTTCAGCAACAGGCTGCTGCAACCTCAGCGCAGAACTGAACGCTTTCTGAAGTCTTTCTTCCCATCAGCCATCAGACTGTTTAATGCACAACAATAGTACTGTTCTGGTCTTTCAACATATTACAATCCCTCAACCAATATTGTTTACATATACCAAGCCCAGGACACCAGGTGACACCAGTGAAACTAACAGACACAGGTGGGAGTGATGACACTGATTAGCTCCACCCAGCAGACAAGACTGGAAGGAGAAATAGACAACCCTAACAGATGGTCTGTCTGTGTGGTTCCTGTTACTACTCCTGCTATGGCTTCTTGATAAACTGGAGTCTTTTAACAGGCTGATTAAGACAGCATTACAGCAGACAGTTAGGGTTTATTTATTTCTAATTATGTTTATATTACACAGTTGATAAAATGCTGATCCATAAATGTTTGTTTGTTTTATTTTATTTTGTTTGGGTGGACGGATAAATAAAGTTGCATATCATCCACATAACAATGGAAGTGGATAATTTTGGAGATCAAATCAAATATTAAAGATAGACAGAAATGTGATTTTTATTTCATTTTAATCAAGTGTCCGGCCCCCAAGGTGTCTGTCCAGAATAATTCTGGCCCTCTCACAAATATAGTTGGTGACCCTTGGTTTGGATTGCTTGTTTCCTGTATCATTACAATGATATTTGAGTTGGAGATTCCCTCACACCCTTGGTTTTTATGCACACCACTGATTTCATGGATATTAAATTTACAGTAGATAAGAATAAAAAAAAAGACTTATTATCAATAGACAAAATGAAGAACCATGACCAATCCATGTTTGTAAAGACAAGTCCTACAACTGCCAGCTGTCCCATTAGTGGAAAAAAAACAAACAAACTGAAGGCTACTGTTTAAATTTTGAATTCTCATTGCTGTAAGATGGAATTTGTATCTGTGGTAAAGACTGATATACAGAAAAGGGAGTGGGCCCACACATCCTGTGACCTCTCTTTCTACCCCCTCCCACTTTCTTGGTAGCAGCAGCCACATAGTCTTTTCTGCTGGAGGTGATTGAGCATGGCACCCTGCTTCAGCTCTATTCCACTTTGTCTGAAGACATGTGCCTGTGTCAGGGACTACAATTAGTGGGACGCGTCCCCTACCATTAATCAACTTTTGCACCGGCAGCATTAGCAACAGTGAACCGTCAGTTGGTGGCAGACTGGGGCATGTGGTGTTCAGGTTGAGCTAGTCTGGTCATTGTGTCTGTTGTCAGGGGTCATTAATAGATAAATTCAAACCAGTCAACTATCAAGGTTTTGTATGATCTCACTGTTTTATTCCAAAAGGCCAGCAGTGTGCATGTCACGTCACATCCACAGAATTCTTTAACGGGTCAGAAGAAAAAAAAAAAAACAAAACAACAGTTTAAACCTGTTTCGGGCAGAGGGCCAGGGTTTGGATTTGAATTATTAACCTGGTACCTTGTTAAATACTTGTCACTGTGCGAAGTGTTTCTAAAACTCCTGAAGGACAAGAGGAGACGGAGGTCGATCGAGATTTGTTGCTCTCCTGGGCTCAGGGTTTTCCCCTGTTTTTTAACCATGATGACTTTGATGAAGGGACTTTTGGGTATAAGAAGTGATTCCCTTTACATTCTCTGTACTAGGTATTCTTTTTGCCAACACTCCTCTCTGCATGCATATATGGACATGCATGCCCATGTGCACTTAAAAATAAACTGTGTGTAATTGTGGCTCCATCTCCGTCTGACACATTAAACTAGTCTATTTAGTAGACGGCCCTTCACTTTGTCATCCTCTTTATTTTGTGCATAATGACTTTCTTCCACCATAGACTCTCTTTTTTAAAAAACATGCCAAAGCGAAGCAGGGTGTTAGTGGTGAAGACATAAGATAAAATAAATACACTGCCTCTAAGAGAAGTAAGAATATACAATATTCTCATTGGTCAATTGGTAAAAGTGACCAACTTTCATCTTCAAACAGGAAAGCAGTTCTAGAAAAAAAAAATAAACACATGTTTTTGTGGGAATTCAAGTAGTTCGCTCCAAACACCTCAAACACATCACAGCTCTTAAGGAAAGAAGACTAGCTCAATCCTTATCTAATCCTGGACACACTCAATGATGTCCAGATCAGGACTCCATTGGGATCACACCATCATTTCCAGGACTACTCTCCACTATTATTTGAAGATATTTTCTAATGACATCAGTCGTGCGTTTGACACTGGTTTACTGCTGCAGATTAAATTTGTGAAGCTCTGGTTTAAGTCAACACATGGTTTAATTTTGATGACGGTTAAAGTCGATGATATGGCTTCGGTTTGTCTAACTAAGTCAAAGGTCAACCTGAGCTTTATTCTAATTCATAT